CCAATTTTTTTGACCCGCAGCATCTCTGGTCCCCTGGAGGGGATCAGATCCAGACCCCGCTGCCTTTTGGGCTCGTGACGGTGGTCGTTTGCAATCCCGTGAGGTTTTTCTCTCCTCTGTGGGTCTCGGTTTTCTTCCCAGCTTGGAAAAAAAATAAAATAATAAAAATCCCCGAGCACCTGGAGCTCGCAGCAGCCAGGGTGAGGAAGCTTTGGGATGCCAGGCAGAGGATTTGGGTACCTTTGATGCTTTGCCAAGCCCAGGCGCAGCGCCTGGAGTTGGCCGGATGCTTTCCCCGGAGGATCGCCCCTGGCCACCTCCCAGGTTGCGTTCAGGTTCCGGCACGCGATGGTTTTGCCAAGGCGAGATGCGGCCGAGCCGGCGTGGGGGGTACACCGGCACCTGCCAGGCTCCTCCGGCAATCCCAGCCCTACCGCGTGGAGAAAACCCGTGGGATGGGGGCTTGCAAGATCCCGGGGCTGTAAACTGCTTCCTTGGGGGTCGATCCCGGTCGTTGTCCTCAAAATGGAGTGCAGGATCCGTCCTGCTGCTCCCCGTGTGCCTGGAAGGCTGGGGTGGGGGGCATGGTCTGTGCTGTCCGGGCTGGCTGCCTGGCTGTCTCCCTTCAGCTCCCTCTGCCAGGAGTGAATCCCTAGGGATTGCCGGCGCATCCCTTCTTCGGGCGGGATCCCTTCAAATCCAGCTCTGCTCCAGTTAAAAATGAATGCACGGGGGGGGGTGTGTTTGGGGAGGTGAACCGTCGGAGATGCTCATTCTCTGACGAGCATCCTTCTCGGACGGGGAAGCTGGACCGAATCTCGGACTCCTCCGTGCCCCGGGGATGCGCGAGATGGGATGGTGTGAGCACGGGAGAGGTGTGTCACGCTTCGGATTCCCAATCCGTGCGTTACCATGGAAGCAGAAAAGTACCGAGAGCTTTTTCTGCGTGGTCTGCTGGTCCACGGGTGCTTTGCTGAGGTGGCACCGGGTGGCTGGGGTCACCGTCCGCCCGCGCTGGGATGGGGTGGGAGCAGATTTATCATCACTTGCTCTGGGGGCTTTCCTGGGACGTGGTGAAACTGGGAGGTGAAACCCTGCTCTGGATCTGAGGGAGACGGGGAAACTTGGCGAGGAGCTTTTTTATTTTATTTTATTTTATTTTGGGGAAGGGGAGACCTGCCCGCAAAGATGTGGCAGGGCTTTTAACTCATTTATGCAGTGATAATACTCAGCCCGGGGGAGCTGCGGAGGTGCGCTGCTCAGACATCAAAGAGAGGGGCTTTTTGGGTCGCTTCTTCCAAGCGTGGGGAGCTGAATCCGCCCGGGACTTTCCCCCCAGCTGTGGGGTTTGGCTGGGGGGGGGGGGATGCCCTGGACCAAGCACTGCCATGAGAGGGGCGAGAGCCGACGGGGATGCAGGATCCTTTAGCATCCCTCCCTCCATCGGCTCTATGAGGACGGGGGGGAGCAGCTGGGGGAGTTCAGATCTTCCCCGCTTTAAGCAGCCGCTCTGGTTTGGGTTGCAGATCTGGTAGCACAAGGCGGGGTTTGGAGCGGGAGAATTAATTCCAAAAGCACCTTTGCCTGGGTGTGCTCTGTTTTGCTCCACATTCTCCGAACGCTTCACTAAATAACATTTGTTTTCCTCGGGGATTAACAACTGTTTGTCTTAGATAAGTTTTGCATAAGGCCAAGCTTGTGCGTACAAGCCTGGGAAAAGATCATAAAGCCTTCAAAAAAAAAAAAAAA